AGAGGGAAAGCCAAGAGCCTGGTTAGGAGTCTTTACCAGTGGTCCAAGTAAAAGATAGCTAGAGTGATGATGGTAGAGATGGAGAAATATGGACAGGTTCAATATATATTTTGGTTAATATATGTTTCTGAAAATATGTTAAACATGATGACATGATGGTATACATAATTTGGGGTGTATAAACATTAGGTTATAACTAGACCATCAAATTAGTGATTTACTGATTATGAATTGTTTGGATGAGACAAACTGATTAAAGCAGTAGACTTGGTGGTATGGAGACATGGCAAAGATCACAAAGCTAGTTAGGGATACACTGTTAATGGACATGATGGCAGGACAGCAGTGTTCTAGCTTGAACAAATGAGTAAATAGCAATGAAATAAAGAAGAGCTGAATCGGGGCTGGAGAAGTAAAGTTCAATTGTAGATAGTTTGTTTGAGAAGTCAGTGAAACGTCCACCTGGAGATTGTTAGGTAAGCAGCAAAATACTGTGTAGCTCAGAGGGGATTCTGGGATGATGACAGTGGCTGCTATGTCCCTTCAATCCACGGCTATGGATAAGATTATTTAGGAAGAAATTGAAGAGAGAAAAAGGACCAGGACCAAGTGCTGAGAAACCTCCAAATTTAGAGGTCAAATGGAGGAAAAGTTTGAAAAGCAGACTGAGGAGAATAAGCTTCTAAGGTAAGAGAAAAGTCAGATAAAGGTGGAGTCATAAAGCCCAAGGAGAAGAGTCTTCCAAGGAGGAAATGGTCAAATATGTCCAACTGGCTGAGAGAGCTTATTCAAGAGGATGAAAGAAAAACAACCACTGGGTTAAAATATGTAACACCTTGGGGTGACACTGACAAAAGTTTTAAGGAAGGAGTGGAAGCCAGACCCAAGCAGGTTAAAGAATAAATGGAATGTGAAGAAGTAACTAATAATGAAGTTGTACCTGTAAGGTAGTCCCACTCTGAATTATTATGAATTATGAAATGAATTATTATGAATTATTATGAAAAATTAATGAGACTACCATTTATTTTTCTTTCTGGCATTCCTGAGTTTTCTTTTAAAATTTTTCTTTCCTCCTTCTTTCCTGACAATGTTTTGAACTTACTAGTTATAACCAGTGGTTCTTACAAGTCACAGATCATAGTGAAGAAGCCAGCTGTCAACCAATCTATTTAAGAGCTTTTCAACCTGAGGAAACTGATTTAAGAAAAAAACAAGATACCCTGTATATATATGTGTATATATATATGTGTGTGTGTATATATATGTGTGTGTATATATATGTATGTATGTATATGAGACTATTGCAGAAGCTGCTAATCTCTATTATAGAAATAGGCAAATGACATGTTTGACCAAAGGATTTAGTCTTCTGTCTTAATTATTCAATTTCTTTTTTGTATCTTGTTCAAATTATCACTATTAAAGATTTTGGGAATTATTTTCGTAGGCAGAGCAGAGCAGGATGATGTGGAAGATAAAGAAATGTGATATCTGGATGGATGCTAGTCTTTGAATATCACTAGCTGGCTTGTAAGTATAATGGAGTAAGTTCATCTTGCCATCTGGCTAATGTAAAATGGAAAGCTGAGGTACTTGCCAATAAGAACTGTAGAACTGAATGAATTCAATAAGGTTTAGATCAGCAACACTTGATCATCAAACATTTCCAGTTTCTAAATACAGGTCCACTGTCAGTCAAGCTGTGAGTTCCAGAATTACTAACTTCAAAAAAACAGATCTGGGGCCGGGCATGGTGGCTCATGCCTGTAATCCCAGCATTTTGGGAGGCCAAGGTGGGTGGATCACCTGAAGTCAGAAGTTCGAGACCAGCCTGACCAACATGGTGAAACCCCATCTCTACTAAAAAATACAAAAAAAAAATTAGCCGGGCATGGTGGTGGACGCCTGTAATCCCAGCTACTTGGAAGCTGAGGCAGGAGAATTGCCTGAATCCAGGAGGCGGAGGTTGCAGTGAGCCGAGATCACGCCATTGCACTCCAGCCTGGGCGACAAAACAAGACTCCGTCTCAAACAAACAAAAAACAGATCTGTAGGCCTCAACCATAGAGATTTTCATTATGCAGATGTGAGGTGAGATCCAGGAATCTGCATTTCTAAAAAAGCTCCCCAGGATTTCTGATATACAGTTAGACTGCAGCAGTTGATACTGAAGAGTCCCCAAACTTATAGGCAATAATTTGTTGCTAAGGTAAGAAGACAGAGGTATAGAATCATGAAATTTTAGCACCTGGAAGACTTTCCAGAGAATGACAAGTTGAAACTTGCTTTTTTTTTTTTTTTTTTTGAGACAGGGTATCCCTGTGTCACCCAGGCTAAAATGCAGTGGCACAATCTTACTGTGCCTCAACCTCACTGCAGACTCAACCTCCAAGGCTCAATCAATCCTCCCACCTCAGCCTTCCAAGTAGCTGGGATTACAGGCGTGAGCCACCATGCCCAGCTAATTTTTAGTCTTTTTGGTAGAGATGGGGTTTTGCCATGTTGCCAAGGCTGGTCTCAAATTCCTGAGCTCGGACAATCTGCTCACCTTGGCCTCCCAGTGTTCTGGTATTACTGGTGTGAGCCACTATGCCTGATCAGAGCTCCCTATTTTTTTCAGTCAGGAAGATTAAGAGTCCTGATTAGTTCACAGTCACACCAATCATGGCTAGATCTTTTGCCTTCTAGCATTCCCATTACACATGCTACTTTCTGTTCCTTAACTTATATTAGGTAATAGCTCTTTAAACAGATATATTTTAATTTACATAAAAGCATTAACTACTTTTTCTACTTTATTGCACCCTATAAAAGCGGATAGAGTTGGAACTCAGTGAATGCTTGCTGAAAGAAGGAAATGTGCATTCTTGTCTACAGGTGTTTTCACAGCTGCAGGGACATTTATAAAGCTTCCCCAGGTCTCAGTCATCAAAAAAGATGAAGACCATGGCTTTTATATTACATCATTTCTCATAGAGGGAATGGTTGATACATGACATGCCAAAGCAGGATCACTGTCTCAGGTAAAGGAACTACTAAAAGAACTATGAATACTTGGAGTCACTGAGTCAGGTTAAAGTTTCCAGGTAGTGGGAATCTATAAAAGAGAACTGAAAAGTTGCTTCAGGGACAAATGGAGGGAAAAAATAGTCAACCTTCCATTTACAACGTGAGCTAACATCACAGCTGTTACTCTGATGGTAATTCCTGCCTACTATTTATACACTGAGTTAAGACAAAGTACAACATGACAAAATGTTCTAAACACAATGCAAAATAAAGTTCAATAGGTGAAATTAAAAATTTTCTTTCTAAAGTAGGAAAGATGTACAAAAACCACAAAAATGAAATAAAAAGAAGATATAAAGAATTTCTAAATGAGTAATTAAGTGCTAAACTAAGGCAAGACACTATGAAAAGGAAAAGAATTTCAAAGACTAAAACATAAAGGGTAAAAGTCTAGGAAGACTAGAGGGCTAACATATAAAAAGTTAAAAGCAAAAGAGACACACACACAACACCTAAATAGGTATCAGCTAAGATAAGTGCAAAAATTGAACAAAAACTAGAAAAACTGAGTAAAATTAGATTAAAAAGTTTCTAAAATGAGAAGAATCTGCCCAAGTGTCCATCAATAGAAGAATGGATAAACAAAATGTGGTTTATACATACAAAGGAATATTATTCAACTATAAAAAGAAATGAAGTTATGATACATGCATACAACACAGATGAACTTTGAAAGCATTATGCTAAGCCACTGAATTGCATACTTTAAAATGGATCAAGTGGAAAAATTTTGTTATACATATATTTTATCCAAAGAAAGGAGGAAGTCAAAACAGACTAAAAGAAGAATCAGTATGCGACAAAACCAGAAATTAAAATAAAAAAATAAAAAATATATTAAAATCATAAATATGTGAAATTATTGCAAGAACACCACCCCCAAATATCATTAAGGAACCTAAGGAACACAAGAAGTAAAAGGTAGGAGAGGGAAGTCAAAGCAGCAGCAGCACAATTAGATAATTTAATCTCAAGTAAGTAGGATGACCATATAATTTACCATCCTAACCAGGACATATTTGAGAGGAAAGGGGACACTATTAATAATTACACAGGGACAACAGGTGTAGGCTGGAGCTGTCCCAGGCATAAGTGGATACGTGGTCACTCTCTATATAAGGGCAGTCGGGTCCTCAAGGTTGAGTTCACGCCCACAGCTTGGGGTCTGGCAGAAGTACAACACTCCGACAGTGTCTTCCTGAAGGACTCAAGTGGTCAAAAACGCAAGACTGGTTTTCATTTTTTTACAGAGAAATAAAACACAATTCATGGCCTTTACTGAAGTGTACTGATTCGTGATTCATAAAACAATGGGCATATCATGAGATTTTATTAAGAGCTATAATGTAGTGTTCTTGAAATTTTAGAAGGCTGAATTATACTTTGAAATGCACTGGCAGGCATACTAAGGAAGTCCTAAGGTGAATCATTTTATATAAACCTACATTTTTATATATTACATTAGAGCCCTACAAATATATGTATACACTCTTTTTTTTTTTTTTTTTTTTTTTTTTTTTGAGACAGAGTCTCCCTGTCACCCAGGCTGGAGTGCTGTGGTGTGATCTCAGCTCACCGCAACCACTGCCTCCCTGGTTCAAGAGATTCTCCTGCCTCAGCCTCCCAACTAGCTGGGATTACAGGTGGGTGCCATGACGCCCGATTAATTTTTGTATTTTTAGTAGAGACAGGGTTTTACTATTTGGCCAGGTTGGCCTCGAACTCCTGACCTCAGGTGATCTGCCTGCCTTGATGGATATACTCGTTTATACTTACATTTGACTAGAGACAACTGAGACTTGAAAATTTGAAAAATCAAGTTAGAATTACTGAGAAAATTAGTAGCTCTGATGTTCTACCCATTCTTTATTTTTAAACTAAAATTAATCTTAATGACCTACAAATAGGTTAACTTAAACAGTCCATACCTTACATGAGAAGCTCCGACTTGGGATGTTTCTTGCTAACTCTGATATCTTGGGTTTATTCTGAAGACACTTGGTTAGGTGATATTTTTTCAATTTTATTCTATTGTAATAATGATCAGCGAAGTTATAGTGATTCAAATGCTGTTTCTGCATGCATTTTCCAAGGTGAGGAATACTATACTTCAAAGCTTGGAGAAATAATTTGGTCTTCTGCTGCATGATACCAAAGTCCCTGGTTTATGCTCCTTTTGGGGCTGCCAGCACACGAATGACTTTATAGGTATGATTACAGAGTAGTGGGTTCTCAGAGTATCTAAGATCAGCAGTTCTCATTGCTCCTTTTCAGGGCCATGCCCCGCTTAGGTTATGAGTAACTTCAGACAGCTGATAACTTAGGCTAACTAAATCTAAAAACGTGTGTAAGTTAAAGTTTCATTCAAATCATACTTCTTGGCAGATGTGACTTAAATGTCTCATTTGTAAAATTAATCCTATCAGGCTCAAACTATGCAGCACTGATTCTGGCACACATAGGGGCAAACTAAAACAAAAAACAAAACAAGAAACAAAATAAAAATTTGCAAATAAGTACACAGACTTAATGGGATATCTCAGGAACTCAGGGCTGTAAAAGGTAAAAAGCCTTTGGTCTTACATAATTATGAACATATCTTTGGTATGTATGTGGAAGATAAACTGGAAAAGCCTAATTATTTAATAAAGGTGGGGGAGGGAAGATTAATTATTGTTGAGTGTTAACTAAGTGCCAGGTGCTTTTATCTTGTCTAATTTAAATTTTATATGGACTTGATAAATTAGATACTACAATGCACATTTTACAAGTTGCCAAACTGTGGCTGTGGGAGGTTCTAAGCAACTGTTCCAGGTCACTTGGACAGTAAGCTATATAGCAAAAATTCCAATTTGTTTTGGTTCCAAAAATTGGAAAACTCAACTATGGATTTTAACGTTAAAAAGGTATTTAGTGCTTTAATTAAAAACAACAAAAAAACCCTGCAAGATGCACAAATGTGAGGCCATCTCTGGTTTGTCAGGAGGTAGCTTTTATTAACCTTGAGAGCTAATAAGTAGTTAAGAGTCAGAGAGACCTGGGTTGAGGTCTTAGCTCCAACACTTAACTGTGTCTCTGGGCCTCAGTTTCCTTATCTGCAAAAATGAAATGACACCATTTACCTTCTAGGGTTGTTGTTGTAAAAACAAAATGAGGCAGTTTAATGTTAAGACCATACAGTGCCTGGCACGTAGTGACCACTCAATAAATGGCAGTTGCTGTGATTTACGTCAGGAATAATCTAGGTCTATTGCACACAGCTGAACGTCATTATGGACGTCTTCCACAAAATACCCCCTGGTATCAAAGGTAGAAGGCTGCGTCAAATTTACCATAGATCAGATGCGCTACGACGCCCCCGCCCCCTTTAATCCCTTTCCATGTCGCAGCAAAATAATGGGTGATTGGGGGTAGAGAAGCAACACTAGTTTACTAGCCGACATTAGTAAAAAAAAAAAAAAAAAAAAGGGGAAAAAAGACCCGAATAACAAGGGCCTGCAAAGGTCCTACATCACCACGTCCCCACAGCCTTTATCCATCCTTCATCCTCAAGGAGAAGACAGTATGCAAGGCTAGGATGGGGGTGGGGTAGATAAACGGGTGTTCTCGGGAGAACCTATTCGTTTTCCCCATGCAACTCTCCACCCCAGGGATGAGGCGATCTGAATGCAACAGGGAGAGGGACCAGGTGACACGCACGCAGTGCTGGGCCATGAGTCAAAAAGCGAGGACCTGGGGACTGAGGGGTGGGTGGCTGGGTGTGGGGAGGAAGGGGAGAAGGGAAGAGACCAGTACACTCCCCATACATACGCAAATTGAGAGAATCAGTCCGGCTCTGGACACAAACCAGTGAAGGCAGGCCGGAGAACCTGAAGCTCTCAGAGAGGAGCAGATGTCACCGCAGGCACGTCCAGCCGAAGTCTGCGTTCCGCAGCCCACAGAACGACAACCTACCCAGAGCCGCCTAGAGCTGGTTTGCAGCACGCCGAGCTACGTAACCTCAGTCTACCACGAGCAACAGGCAGATTTCGCCATCTTTGTTGTGGTCAAGGATTCTTCTGGCGTTCCTGGGTTCTTTAGTCTCAAAATATATAAGACTCTTTGTTCTTTGCTAGTCGTCTGAGCTCGAGATGAAGCAGAGAAGACTAAGACAATGAGGAACAGCGTTCCAGTAGCCTTGCCACATTTCTCTAACCCTCTGGTCCGCCCTCACTCAAGATGGCTACCAGCAAAATGGTGCAATGACGTGACAGCGCGGCCCTGGTTGCCAAGGAGATGCGAGTACCGGAAATGCGGAATTCGGGGAGGGCGCGCATGCCTGGGTCGTTGCGGTGGGGGGGGGCGGGGGGCGGGCGTCACAGGTCCTGACAGGGAAGAAGTTAGCAGGTCCTGGCAGGGGACGAGCTGCGGTGGCGGCACCTCCGGGTATGGAAGGCTCCAGTGAGATGGAGTCGCGGGTCGCGGACGCTGGGGCCGGTGAGACTGCGAGAGCAGCGGGCGGCCGTCCGGCAGTTGGCTGCACCACTCGGGGGCCCGTAGTCTCGGCGCCCCTGGGAGCCGCCCGGTGGAAGCTCCTGCGGCAGGTAGGGGAGAACCTGCTCGCCTCACCTTTGCCTCTGGTCACTCCCCTCTCACGTACCGGGGGAGCGACCGTTCGCAGCTCTTTCCTCTTGGCAGTTCTGGGAGTCCCTTCTCAGTTTGCCGGGAGCCACCTGCGAAGCTCCCCCTCGCTTCACCTAAGTGTCCCATCCAAGAGGAGGAATAGGTGGGGTTGGATGAGGAGGAAGACAGCCAAGGCTGAGCTCCTGGGAAACTCAGATCGAAGTAGAGGAACCCCTTCTGTACATTTTTGTGCGTCTGGGGGACTTTTCCCCTTCTCGCCAGTCTCCGGTGCGCCCGCCGCTCCCCACTGCTCTTTTCCTGCTTCTGTTTTGCCTCCTTCCCCAGGTTTCTTCTAGCTTAACTCCCAGGCTGGTTCTAGTTACTGATGTTCTTCTGCACCCTCTGGCCCCGTCTTTTGCCCAGCGTGGTTGACTGTGCCGGGACTGAGACGCGGCACGCGTTCCCTTGGCATCTTCCGTACAGCGGAGCGTGCAAGGAGTAGGAAGAGCTGACCTCCTCTCCCACCGAGGTCTCAAAGTTCAATGATTATCTTGTAGTTTGAAGTGATCAGCGAGATTCTCCGTGTCCAAAGTGGTTTAGTCAAAATGTGTTCGTTTGTTGAATGATGGTATCTTCTGGTACTTCAAAGTTTCTGCTGTTACTTAGAACTTCTCTCGTGCAAGCTTGACGGAAGTTCTGATTTATGATCACTCACATTCTTCGCTCACTTCTTGAAGTTAATTTAAGTCTGGTTATTGTTTTTACATACCAGTGTTATGCCTCTGCCTGAAGTTTTCTGCCTAAAGCTTTACTCAGGAGGACATTTTTCCATTTCTGACAGTTGTGTTTGGAAGGGTTTCCCAGCTATTGCCACTTTACTTGAGATTGTGCTTTTAGTATTTTGAGGGTCACTTTGTTTGCAGTTGCCTTGAGTCACCTTTTCATACAGTGGTCTTTTAGCGCTTTTGGAGTTATGAGTTAAGTAGATCATCAGAGTTAATTAAAATTTATTTGCTGATGCATTGACAGTCTTTCCAGACCAGTAATGATCTGGTTTTGCTATTGTTACAAATGGTATTACAGGATAAGAAAATGCATGTCCTCACAGATCATCATAGGAAGTACCTATAATAAAGTAAACATCTGATTTTTTTTGTTTGTTTTTAATAGTGACCACTGAAATGAGATCTTGGACTCAACCCTCCTCCTCGCATCCCGCCCCCCCGCTTTTTTTTTTGAGATGGAGTTTCGCTCTTGTTGCACAGACTGGAGTGCAATGGCTGCCATCTCGGCTCACTGCAACCTCCGCCTCCCGGGTTCAAATGATTCTCCTTCTTCAGTCTCCCTAGCAGCTGGGATTACAGGCATGCACCACCACACCTGGCTTTTTTTTTTTTTTTTTTTTTTAAGTAGAGACGGGGTTTCTCCATGTTGGTCAGGCTGGTCTCGAACTCCCGACCTTAGGTGATCCACCCACCTCGGCTTCCCAAAGTGCTGGGATTATAGGCGTGAGCCACAGTGCCCGGCCCCCCCCCCCGTTTTGTTTTGTTTTGTTTTGTTTTGTTTTGATACAGAGTCTTACTATGTCATCCAGGCGGGAGTGCAGTGGTGCAATGTTGACTCACTGCAGCCTCTGCCTCCCTGGTTCAAGCAATTCTCCCTTACTCAGCCTCCTGAGTAACTGGGATTACAGGCGCTCACCATCACACCCGGCTAATTTTTGTATTTTTAGTAGAGACGGAGTTTCGCCATTTTGGCCAGGCTGGTCTCGAACTCTTGACTTCAGGTGATTCACCTGCCTTGCCTCCCAAAGTGCTGGGATTACAGGCCTGAGCCACTGTGCCTGCCGCGCCCACCACCCCCCCGACTTCTTCTTTTTTTTTTTTTTTTTTGAGACGGAGTCTTGCTCTGTGGCCCAGGCTGGAGTGCAGTGGCTGGATCTCAGCTCAGCCATTCTCCTGCCTCAGCCTCCCGAGTAGCTGGGACTACAGGCGCCCACCACCTCGCCCGGCTAGTTTTTTGTATTTTTTTAGTAGAAACGGGGTTTCACCGTGTTAGCCAGGATGGTCTCGATCTCCTGACCTCGTGATCCGCCCCTCTCAGCCTCCCAAAGTGCTGGGATTACAGGCTTGAGCCACCGCGCCCGGCCTTTTTTTTTTTTTTTTTTTTTTTAAATAAATGAGCTAGGGTCTTACTTGTTGCCCAGGCAGGTAACTCCTGGGCTCAAGCAATCCTCCCACCTCATCTTCCTGAGTAGTTGGGATTACAGGGGTATGCCATGATGCCTGGCTTTCAGTGATTCTTAGTGTAGTAAAAGCTACAGCATTTACGTTCATTATAAATTGCGGTCTAAATGAGAACAGTGACAAGTTTCAGCTGTGGCTGTTACATGACCTCCCCACACGTTCTGACATTGAAACTTTTGGTATACATCTGCCTGCTTGGAGTCTTTTTATCTTCTCTACTTGGTGAATGATTGTTCATTCTTCACACTTCCATTTCAAACTACTCTTCTGTGAAGCCACCCCTAATGCCTCTGGGCTAAGTTAAACCCTCAGCCCACTCTACTAGTGAGCCCCTTATATTATTTTATGATCATGTGATCAGGGTCTCTCTTTATTACTAGAACGGGCATTCTCCCTGGGAAAAGGTGATGTTTTATTAGTTTATATCCTCTGCATCTAGCATAGGACCTGGTTAATTGGTTTTTAGTAGATGTTGTTAAGTGTCTGTGGAAAGCCTGAGAGTAAGGTCAGTCTTTAAATGGCGCATAGCACCTAGTCCTTAGTGTATTTTATCAGTAAGTTATTGCTCAGTAAGAACCACAACATCACAGTGGCATACAGCAGTTAATATTTGTTTTGTTGGTGCATGTGGGGACCACCTGGGAGCTGACTGACATAGGCTGTAGTCACCTGGGTATCTCTATGATGCACATGTGGTCCATATGTCTCTAATCTTTGGACTAGTGGGCTAAAGTCCTCATGGTGATAGCAGAGGTATAAGAGCAAGCCCCCTGCTCACATCATGTGTTTACTTCCTATTGGCCAAAGTCAAGGGGCAGGGAAATACAACTCCTTCCTTGGAGGTGACAAAGAGGAAGTGAATCTTTTTCTATTATAATTTAATCGATCACATATATTAAACATTTACAAGCTCTTAGTAAATGTATTTCAAATGAATGAACCATTCCTATCTTATATGCATCTAGTACTGGAAAACTATAAGGGATCTAAGCAGTGCTAGAGATATATGACTCCTTTTCTCTCTCGTGGGACATCTGCAGAACATCTGCTCTGTCTGCTTGTTTTTTCCTTTACAATTCTGTCTTTCCATTACCCTATAGAGCTCCAGTGCTGTCTCATGGCCTTTTACTTTATGTTAACTGTTCAGTATTTTCTGTGTTTTGTAATTAACAAAACACAGGTTTTGAGAGAAAACCTGGTTGACCTAGTGCATCATTTGGTTCCAGGTTACCTGATAAATTGCCAAAATTTGAGTCAAGCGAGTACTTAAATTAGATGAGGTCTGGAAGTTTATTAATCAATATCAGTAGAGGTTATGGATGTTGTTCTATTTTCCTCTTTGTTGAGTCTCATTACATGTTGACAAAGATGGCCACTGGCAACTCCAGACTTTCATATCCATCCAGCTAGTAATCCAGAAGAAATAACTCTTTTCCCCAACATCCAAATCATTTCCTCCAAAGGACTCTGATAGGCCAAGGTTGGACCAATTGCTATGTCCAGAATGGGGCACTTTGGCTAACCTGGGTCATCAACCCACCCTGTGGCAGGTAAGGTGTAACAACCTCACTAGAATTACATAGAGTGAGGGAGGGGCAGTTCCTAAAAGGAGGTGACGTAGGGCAGATGGAAGAGTAGCAATGACTGTTACACGTGTATTTACAAACCACCTACCGAATGAAAAATCTTGCCTAGAGGTGTGACTACCTGGCTGAAGAATCTGATTATGGAATATTTCACAGTACAATTTATATCAAAGCAGGATGCTTTTACCTGGATTGGCTAATTGAAAAAGTTGGTTAAGAGGTGAATTGTAATAACAATACATATTCCAAGTGAAGTTATTTTCTGAGTGTCAAATCTTTCTAGATATTTATAATTCTTCAAATGTTTGTAGTTGGCTTCCAATACCTAAATTGATAGTAAACTTTTAAGCAACTTACCTTTATCTTTCTAAAACATTCAACTTGGCTTTTAGGGTAGCGACAACTCCCTTTTAGCTCTATGTTATTAGTTTTGTAATATTTAATTAATGACAAGTTAAATATTTAATTGATGACAAATTTAATTTATTTAATGACAAGTTAAATATTTCATTGATGACAAATTTAATTTGTTATTTTGAAGAACAAGTAGAATAAAAAGGTTTGTGAAGAAGCACAGTTAACTTGGCAAGCATACAACTTGACAGTGGCATCAGATGCATCTAAATCTTGATCCAGTCCTAGGTCTACCACTTGCTGTGCGCTCTTCACTGATCTGTATCAAGTATTTAGATTGTTATGGAATGTATTTTTGTTTCACCTTTATTCTTGACTTTGTTTTATATCCTTACTTTTGCTTTCTTTTTTTCTTTCTCACCCAGTTTTCACAAATGGTATCTTGTACTGTTCATCTTTTTAAGCCATCTTAAATCCTTTTGGTAATAGGTGTGATGTAAGTCTTCTGTAAGTTGTCGGAATTTGGACAACTTTTTACTTTTCTAACCTCAGTTTTCTCTACACTTAATGGGAGCAATAACATACTTTGGAGGGTTGTTTTGAGTATTTGACATAATATTTGTAAAATGCTTAGCTTGGAATCTGCCACGTCATAGACTCACCATAAATAGTAGCTATTATTATTATTATTATTATTTGAGACAGAGTCTCACTCCATCACCCAGGCTGAAGTGCAGTGGTGTGATCCTAGCTCACTGCAACTTCCATGTCCTGGGTTCAAACGATTCTTGTGCC